AAGCATGCTTGTAGCGACAGTGGAGAGGAAAAACTCCCTTTGAACAGGAAGAAACCTCCAGCAGAACCAGGCTCAGTGTGAGCGGCCATCTGCCGCTTTGTTCACCAAGCTGCTTGGTTATTTTCCTGTAGTCCTTTCCAGCCTTGTGGAGGTGGACAATTTAGTCTCTGTTGTCTTTGGACAGCTCTTTGGACTCGGCCAGGTTAGTAGTTGAATTCTTCCTGATTGTGTGGAGAGGACAGGTGTCTTTATGCAGCTAACCACCTCAAACAGGTGCATCAAATTTAGGAGAACAAAGTGAGGTGGACATTATGAAGGCAGACCAACAGGTCTTTGAGGGTCAGAATTCTTGTTGATAGACGGCTGCTCAAATAGTTCTTTGCAGCTGGATCATACAAATAAATAATATAGTTTGATAATAATATAAATAAAGTTTAAAAATCAGATATTATGATTTCTGGATTTTCTTTTCATATAATGTCTTCCATAGTGGACATGCTCCAACCATAGCAACCCTCTATGATTTCTAAGTGGGTGAACTCATTTTCCTCACTGTAGACACATGTTCTTTAAGCCACTGAACATCTGGAGGTGTTCAAAGAATCCATTTTTAGAAAATATAGTTTTTCTGCTGCTTTGGTAAAAACTTTTAAATCCGTCTCCCTACATGTCAATACTTATTTTACTCAGACCTCTGTTCAGGGAAGGGAGGCGATGGATGAGAAGACAAGTTGTCCAATTCTTGACTTGGACATAATGTGTTCAGGGAGGGCTGTACTCTTTGAGTAGCTTTTAAAGCCTAAATATCTAAACTATATGACTATATTCCTGGTAATAGAAGTTTGGATTTTCATCCAACGCATCAGACCTTCAACCCCACCCCCATCCATCAGGGCAGGCCAGCAGAAACAATGTGTGTCTCGTTGGCACTGAGATAAGCCAAACCTTTACATCTCCTCTGTGACTCTGCTAGACTTGCTGGCTGCTGAAACCTGATCAACATTAAACCAAAAACCTAAATAAAACTTTGGCGCCAGATGTAAGTGAGTTCCATGGGAACTGGAGGCAGACTAGATTGACTTTGGATGTAGAGGAACTCTGAGGGTAGATCCTGTTGTTTCAGGGAGACAGACAGAGGAAACAGCCATTTAAAAAGAGGCGGAATGGATAATATGCCCAAATCAACAACAGTCAACCCCAAAGAGCCCAACTAAACATTGGAAGCTTGGATTCCCTGCTTTAGAAAGGCAACATTAGGAACAAGACAATACCTAATCCACATCTCACATTCCACAAGTGCAGAGCAGGAGATGAATTAAGAGTCGGTAACCCACATGCTGGACAGGAATCTTTCAATTACTCCACACGACCAAATGTGTCTGTTTCCTGATGGCAGAGAGGAGTTTAAACCATTGGACGCTGAAAGCTGATGGTCTAGAGACACTTTATGAGAAACAATCCGTTTCTCATTTATATAAAGACAAGGAACATGTTTGGAACGGCTTCGGGATACTTTGGGTGTACAGGTGGGTCTGTGGTTGTCTCACTGATGGCAAAGGGCACCGGTGCTCATCTCATGTTCTTAAACATTTAACATCCTGAATGAGGAATTTGAATAATATGATTTTTGGGCTTTCTGTGGACATGGAATATGTCTTCACTGGGTGTAAAATGGACTTAGCCCATACATTTCTCAGTTTTTTCAGTTCAGTTTATTTCTATAGCACCAATTCACAATAGATGTCATCTTTAGGAGAATAACAGAGATAATTCAACCAGATCATACAACTGAGTGTAAACATCAACAGATTCAGCTGCAGCCAGAGTTCTGATGAAAATGAAAAAGAGAGATCATATCTCTCCTATCCTGGCTT